CTACAGGCAGCCATGTACGCACACTCATGCACACACACGGCACACACAACAGTGCACATGTATTCATGGACACACAAAGGATTGCACACATGCATGGACACAGGTGCAGACACAGAGGTGCATGTGCACACACATACAGTGCATACATGTGCACATATACATGCACACTCTGACACACATGCATGGACATGGCATAGGCACACACACATGGGTGCACACGTGCAGACACACTGCACATGCACACCCTTCCAAACATACATGCATGCACAAATACATGGACACACAGGAACATGTACACACACACACACACTGGCACATGCACACACACCCAAGCACACATGCATGCACAAATGCATGGACACAGGCACGCATGCACGCACACACACACACACATCTCCACTGCTTGCACACACATGGCCTGGCTCACGGGGGCCCCGGCAACAGCTTTTCAGCTGCTCGTGCTCTTGGCAGAGATGGCCGGGGCGGGGGTCCCACCACCCCTGGGGAAGCCCCCAGCCATGTACCCGTACCCTGCTCCCCTGCCTGGCTCCCCAGGGCGCTGAGAGCCGGGCATGGGTGGGGGCTGCTGATAAAGCCCCAGCTCCTGGAGTCCCGGGACAGGCTGGGAATCTCGGCCGCTACTGGAGGCCGGGCGCCGCGCAGAGGGGCCGTGGATCTGTAGGGGAAGGGCGTCAGGTTCTGCAGCGGTGCCTGGCAGAAGGGGTGTGTGCGGTGTCTGCCAGGGGCGATTGCTGCCCACCCCCCCCATCCCCACCCCTTGCAGGTGAGAAGCAGGGAACGCAGAGCCAGGCCGACACCAGCAGCGCAAGCCTCCGCAGCTGCAGCCCGTGTGTTACGGGGCATCCGGTTTTCCCACCGCGTCCTGCCCCGGGCTGGGTCGGACAGAACCGGAGACAACGCAGACCTCTGCCCCGAGACGGCCCGGCTCCCAGCCTTCCTGCATGGAGGTGGGGAAACTGAGGCATGGGTTGGCAAGGCCGGCGTGGGGCCTGGCAGCATGGCTCAGGTGGTGGTCCCTCTGCTTCAGAGCCTGGCCCTGGCTCTGGGGTGCACAGGGGAGCATGCTGCCCATCTGCAGGGTCTCTGGTGCCAGGCCTGCCCCCCTGGCTCAGGCCAGTGCCGCTGGGCCCCCGAGGCCGCCGCGTCTCCGAACACCTACTTGTGACCCGGTGCCCCCTGCGCTGCCTGGGAGACCTGCTCCAGGGCACCAGCTTGGACCTGGCATTGACTCGGCTGGACACGGTGCAAGCGGTGCATTATGGCAGCACCCAGCCCCCTTCTCCGGAGACCCCCTGGCATGAACCAGGCTAAGGGCTGTGCCCAAGGCCACCCAGGGGATCTGTGGCAGAGCCACGCTGGGCGCAGCCCCAGCCCCGTTCCCAGGGCTCACCTCGCTGTTCGTAGGCCTGGGAGATGCTACCTGCCTCTGTGCTCCCAGCCAGGCCCTGGCTCCAGGTTCCCGTGTCCTGGCTGGGCCTGGCTGCCATCGTGCCTCAGCTCGACCGTGCGGCCCTAAAACCGGCTCCTCTGAAACTCCCCTTCCCTGAATCCCTGGAAGCGGCTTGCTCTGATCCTGGGGAGTCGCTGCCCCCCAGCCCCAGGCATGGACCCCTCTGGTCTCTGCAGGGGCCAGAGGAGACTGTGCCTCATGGAGGACCTGGGCGCAGACCCTGTGGGCAAGGTTTTCCAGCCCTCCTGGCGGGACCAGCCCAATGCCCCGATGGATGGAGCCCACCCCCAGCCGGGGGCCTGCGCCCCGCGGGAGCGTCCGTGGTGCTCCTCGGCCTGCCTGGTACCAGGGCTGCCCCGTGCAGCCGCTCCCCGGCCCTGTGCCCAAACACATCCCTCTGCATCATGCCCAGGGCGGTGTGGGAAGACCCAGACAGTCCTCCCATGAAGCCTCAGCAAGGGGTGCACCTTGGACGGCTGTGATGCCCAAAGGGCAAAGGGGCTGCTGATTATAGTGGGGCTCCCAGGACAGCCTGGCCTTGGATAAGGACTGCCACTTGGCTCATCTGAGCTCGGCTGCTGCCACCCCGCTTTGCCAGGCCCCTAGCCGAGCCCATGGTGAGGCCTTGCTGCACAATGTCCTGACCCGGTGCGGGCACCCCAGGCATGCACACGTGTCGGCTGGCATGCAGCAGGGACAGGAAGGCTCTGGAGCCGGCGTGGGGGTGGGGTGGGCCGAGGATGTGCTGATGCATGGTCTGCTGGAAAGCACCAGCCCGGGGCCGCGCCGGCACCAGGGAGCACGGCCGATTATGTCAGCCTGGCTGGAGAGCGCTGTGCCCCGAATGGCTCGGGGGCTGTCGTGCCAGCGAGCCAGGAACTGCTGCTGTCGCCTTGCACTCGCAGGTCCCAGCCCTAGCCCACAAGCCACTGCTTATTTGCAATCACACCCAGTACCAAGGCTGCCAGCTCCGCTGATCCCAGTCCCACCTCGGGCTTTGCATCCACTTCCCAGATAGAGCCTGCCTCTGTCCTGGCTCAGCTCCAAGGATGGCTGGAAGGGTGTCAGCGCCCATTGGCACAGCTCAGGCGAGAGACTCCCCTGGTCTCCACTGCCTTGGAGTGCCCCTGCGGGGCAAGCGGCTCTGGTGCTGGCTCAAACCAGGACAGATGTGGGAAGACTTTATTCAGTCATTAATCCCAGCAGAGGGTCCACAGAGCTTCCCTGACAGCCCTGGGACCCCTTCCAACTCCTGCCCCCAGCCCAAGTAGCAGCAGGCAGCATGCACAGCTGCCCGCTCTGAGCGAGGAGGGCAAGCACACCGTGCTGTGCACAAGCCGGGATAGTGAACACAGCTGCATGCCGAGCCAGCTGGATTGTACAACAGTGACTTTATTCTAGTGAACACTTCTATACGGCAGCAGCGGGTCACACAGCAGCCCCCTCTCATCCCACCTCGGCTGGACTGCGGTTACTTAGCCACCTCTTCAGCTATGGCTTTACTCATCTTGCCCTTGATGTAGGCGTCCTTCTGCCATTCCGATTTCTGCTCCTGGAACTCATAGCATGGGATCTATGGGAGACACAGGATAGGTGAGGGCCGGGGGCTGAGCTGGGGGCTTGGTGGGCTGGTCCCTGATGCAGAGGCAGGAGAGCACCACAGCCACCAGCTCAGGGTTCATCCCCCACCTGTGCCAGGGCACAGACAGGGGTGCAGAGCCCCGAGACTCTCTCTTCCGCTGCACAGACAGTGGCCAGCTCCTCCCACAGGGTGAATCACAGCAGGCAGCTCAGGGTGTCCCCTCCACACGCCCCATGGCAAAGACACAGCCCCCGCACTGCTGCAGCTGGCAGTTCTGGCCCATCTCCCCTTGCCCGTGCCAGCAGCATGTGCCAGAGGGAGTGAATCCATGCTGGCAGCTTCCCCAACTGCCGTTCAGCCTGGCCCAGGAGGAGGGTGTGCGACGTGGAGCATGCTGCACCTGGAGCCTTGCACGGAGTCACTGGGTTCACATACCAGGGTGCTCCATGCTGAAGGCAACAGGGCGCCAGCCGCACACGCTCTGTGGCTACCTCCTAACAAGGGGGCCTCGAGCAAAGCTCCAGCCCCATATACCAGAGGCAGCTCTCAGCAGGACCGTGCTTGGGAGTTGGCTGGGGTGAGCCCACCATGGATCCCACCCCGTGAGATGGATGGATGGCTGCAGTAGATATACCCTCCAGAGCTCACCGGCAGAGCTGTGGGGCCCACGTGCTACAGGTCTGGCTATGGCAGCCGGCTGTGCCAGTGCTCCTATGGGAAAGGGGAGCCCTGAGTCTGACATGGCTGCAAGCAAACGGCACGGCTGATGGGAACCCCCTGCATGGCTGCGGCACAGAGCACCTATCAGCAGAGGGGCTGTGCGTAAGTGGAAGGACACGCTGAGCAGGGATAGAGGCGTGGCGTGCCAGCATCCAACAGCAGCTCCAGGGGTGCTGCCAGCCCCGCTGCAATTAACTTATTGAGGTGGGGGGAAGCTCTGGGGCAGCTAAGGCACATTACGAGGCTGCCAATCCCTGCAGAACCCAGATGTCCCCCCTAGCACTCAAAGCAACTTCGGCACCCTGAAGCCAGCCTGGTCAAATGGGCCCCGGGCATAAAAGCTCAGCATGCAATGACCAATGGGCAGAGCTGCACGCGGGGACGGGGGAAGCCACTACGCAGAGCACAGCAATGGAAGAGCAGGGGAGGCAGTGAAAACGCACCGGAGCAGAGGAAAATTGCCCTGGGAACTAATCACAGTGCCTCGAACATTTCACCGTCCTGTTCTTCCCTTTGCACATCCATTCGCACAGCCCTTGCCCCTGCAGGCCACTCCCTTGGCCCCAGGCTGAAATTCGAGATGGTGAGGAGCAGGGCTGAGCAGACCGCACCTTACGGGCTCAGGGATGGAGGGGAGTGAGGCCATACCGTGAAGCAGGAAGACTGTGCGCTCTACAGGAAAGCCAGGACCCTGTCCAGAGACCCCCCTCAGCCCAGGGAAAGAGTCCTGGGGAACGGTGCGATTTCCTGGCTGCAGGGCTGGCCACTTCTAGGCAAGCTGGAACAGGGCCAGGTGGCCCAGCACTTGCAGCTCAGAGCACCGCCTTTCCCATCAGCATGCCTGTGTGGGGGAGGAGAGCTCCCACCGCCCTGCACAAGGTAGGCTCCAACTCACAGCTGGCACCAGGCTTGGGGTTAATTGAGGCCACCCCACCCACCCCCAGGCACACACTGTGCCCCTGGCCTAATGGATGAAGCGCCAACCTGGGCCTCCCCGGCCCTGCTGCAGCCTTCCCAGGAGAGCTGGGCACTTCATGCTGACCCCGTGTGCCTGGGCTGCCTCCTTGGCCCAGGACAGGGCAGAGGGAAGAAGTGGATTCTTCCCATCTCTATATTTAGCTTCCGGGCTTGCAGCGCGAGGCTCCCAGGAGCTGGAAAAGCCCCCCGCGCCCACAGCACGGGAGCAGTTATGCAACCAGGCGCGACAGGGAGTATGAGTCACTCAGCATCACCATCACTGCAGAGGTGGCAGCACTTCGGAAAAGGTTGGGCGGGGGTCTGGGCACAGTCAGGAGCTCCAGTCCCCTGCATGGTGCTGGCAGTGGAGACCGGCTGGGGGTCCAGCCCACAACCCCAGCTGCAGGACCAGCCAAGCCACACAGCAGACCCTCTCGGACAGGCTTGTAGCCACCCAGCGAGCCTGGGGGTGTGACCCCCCCACCCCAGCAGCCTCTGCCCGGCATGAGCATCTACACTAGGGTCTGCACTCGGGCTGAGGTGAGAGGAGCTCCCCTGACACCAGGCCTGATAATGGGAGGCAGGCAGAGATCTGGGAGCCGTGTTCTGCTGCATTCCCGGCTCCGGGATCGCGCCCCTCTGCCTAGCGAGGGCTGGGGATCAATCAGAGCTGACTGATGCCTGGCACTGGCTGAGCTAAGCTCTCATGTGCGGTTTCCTGGAGGAGTGAGAGAGGGGTCGTGTTTCATAAAGGGTGTGGGAAGGAGGCTGCCCCCCTGCTCCTGCCCTGGCTCCCATCACCTTAGGATCTGGGCCTTACCTGACAGAACCCCTTCCCAGACCCACTCCCCTTCCCGTGGGTCTGGGGGCTGGCGTAGTAGCACCTGCAGCCAGGTAAACACAAAGCACCTGCCTTCCCCACTGGAGTGCCCAATGATCCTGCCCCCAGGTTATGAGTCGGAGGCTGAGGTCAGCCCTGTGGTCAAGGTCAGTCAAGGAGGGCTGGGATGGAACCAGAGGCACCAGACCACCCTTGACCTGGAGAGCACAGCTGGACACGATTTGGGGTGGGAAATCAGGACAGGTTCCCTACAGGGGAGTAATGCCCAAGCAGGGAGGCTTTTGCTACTGCCAGCTGGAGGGCCAGGCGCCAGTGATGGGGGAATTATAATTACCTGCAGGAAGCTAAATAATGAATGGCCCTCCCAGAGCAGAGCCTCTGCCGGGAGGTCAATGAGCACTAAGAGCTTGGCTTTCAGGTTCTGGAGAAGAAGGTGCCCAGCTGAGTTTACACTACGAAGAAGTGCCCAGCGAAATGCAGAGCAGGTGCACGTGGGCATGTGGTAGGGGGACCCCAGGCAAGCTACTTACCTCCACGACTATAAAGCCGGCAGCTTCCAGATGTCGCCGGGCCATAGTGAGGTGGCCCACCAGGTCCCTGCTCTGGCGGATGAAGTTGGGCAAGTCCCAGTGCAGGAAAGCCATCCTGTGGGGTGGGGCGGGGACAAGGCGGTGCGACTTGGAGACTGGTCCTTGCTCAGCCCCATTGCTGTCCAGCATGCTCCGTGCCCCAAGACAGCCAGACAGCAGTCTGACTGCCTGCTCAGCACCCAGAAGTGGTAGTGGGGCCTGTCTCAGCTGGTGGCATCTATCGACTGCTTTATCCCTGGCAGGATGTGGCCGTGTCAGCCCCCTGGACGTGGGTTCCCAATCCAGCCCACAGATACCCCGTGCTCTCTCTGGAAGGGGCCGGACAGGACAGGATAGACATGCATCATCCTGAGGTAGGGGGTGCCAGCCCCTTTCCCTGAACACAGATGACGCCAGTGCCTGGGACATTCTCCAGCCCTGCGATGCTTTGAGCCCATGAGAATGCAAGTGCAGGAAGAGGGACCGGACTGATGGACTCATTTAAAAACAAAACATGTCTGGTGCTGAAGGAGCTCCTCCCAGCCCCAGTGAGAAGGCAGCTCAGGCCCTGAGGCCTCTGCCACCAAGCCCAGCCCTGGCACACTGACGTGGACTCTGCTCCACATGGAAGGGCTGGCTGCTGTGATCAGTGTCTTTAGCTGGTCCGATTCCCAGGCCTAGACTGGCACCTCGAAAGCAGCTAATTAGAAGGGGGGTGGCTCTGGCAGCTAAGGAGCAGAACCCGACCAGTCTGCTCCTCCCCAGTCCACACCTGTCATCTTGTTCCTCAATGAAATGTGGTGGCTGGGCTCAGCAGGCATTTTTCCCATGTGCTCCCAATGCAGCTCTGGGCACTTTTAATTAGTGAGCTGCGCTAATTAAAAAGGCACCGTGTGTCCTGTGCACCAGCAGTGCAGTGTGACTCCGTGCTGAGAAAATGGCGGCAGTGTGCTTTGAACTAAAGCACATCGAACGTGTTTTAGTTCAAAGCACACCGCCGCCATTTTCTCAGCGTGGAGGTGTGCCATGCCACTGATGAATGTGATGCGCGAGGCTGCCACACTTTGTCAATTTACGTGCTCCAGCAGACTCAATTAATCGAGTCTGCTCCAATATCCTGGATTTCCTGCACACCGGAGCAGGCTCCCTGCATGTGTATAAGTGCCCAGAGCAGATTGAGCAGGCTCTCAACGGCTCAGCTCTGTCCTACACTGGCCCCAGCAGGGTAAGGGTGACACCTCAGCAACACCCTCTGCATGATGCCCAGGGGAAGGGACCTTTCAGTAGGTGACCCTGCCCTCCCCCCCTCCCTGCAGGGCCCGCACAAAAACTCACCTCCTGGTATGTGGTGGCAACTCCTTTGTCCCTTCTGAGGCAAACAGGTGGGGAGCAACAAAGTTCTTCAGGGGAATGGGCTGGTTGTCACTGTTCAGCAGCACCTCAGCAACTGCCCCAGAGAGAAGTGAAGAACAAGGAATCATCAGGTCTGGCACTGGGCTGTCAGCCACCCCTCACCACCCAGGCCAAGCAGCTGAGTAGCCCACGGAGCACATGGAGCCCCACGTCATACTAAGCTGCTGTCTCCAGGTGCTAGCCAACAGCAGAGGCACAGCAGGCCTCTCCTCTGGTGCCTGCAAAGAGCAGGTGAGGACCCTGCTGTCACCCCCCAACCAGGTGTCTGCAGCAGGATTTTATCCCCAGGGTCCAGGCAGAGGACCGTGAGGCCCATGAGCTGCAATGATGATGTGGCAGCCAGCTGGACCAGTGCCTGCCATGGAGGGGGCGAGCACTGAATTTGACAAGGCTGCGGAGTGGAAGATGGGTGTGATGGCTGATGTGAGAGCACCCGGAGCCAGATGGACGGGGACAGAGGAGGGGTGGTGGGGATACGAGATGGGAAAAGGGGACCTGCAGCAGAGGGAGGCAAGTCCTCCCCTCTCCGTCCCCAGAACCAGAGACCAACAGCTTGGCTGGGTTGCGCTACCCAGTGCACAGCTCTGGAGCTGGGCAGCAGAGCAGGGCAAGGCCTTCTGCCCCAGGAGGGTGGGTTCAGGGGTATAACACCTGGAAGGCCTCAGCCCAGCACCCACCACAAAGCCAGCCTGGCATCGCTTGTGATCCCTGCTCACCAGGGGACTCTGGGACAGAGCCTCAGTGGGTTCCAGGGCTGGGACAGCAGGTTTGTAGGGGCAGTGAGGGGGCACTGGCAGAAGGGCACAGTGAGGTCTGCCACTTCAGGACCATAAGGCACTGGGGCCTGGAGACCAGAGAAGCTGATGTCATGTGCCTGATGGCACCAAGGGGGCAATTGCAAGCTGTCCCGTCCCCGCTTGGGGGAGATGCCATGCTCACTGAGCTGCCAGCCGTAGATAGTGTCTACTCTGAAGCGCCACTTGGTCTCATCACCGAGCACCTTCTGCAGCACCCGGCACAGGTCATTCTGCAGCGGGGTGGGCTTGATGTATTCCTGTGGTGCCAGAGCCTGCAGTATCTGTGGTGGCAGGGAGGGGCACTCGTACTCAGGGAATTCCAGCAGGGCAGTTGCGTTGATTTGCATTATCTTGACCTTGAATTGCTGGCCTTTCTTGGAGGTGTCTTTTGCTGGAAAAGAGATGTGCAAGAGATATGGCCCTAGCAGGAGCCTGGGCAGAGAGCCAAGGGCCCAGCTCGGCACACTTCGTACCACAGTGGGAACTCCTGGGTTCTCATCTCAGGACCCTGCCAGGCTGCCGGGTGTGACCTCAGCCGCCAGAGGCTGCAGCAGGGGTTTGGTAGCTTGCAAGGTGCTTTCTGCACCCTCCACTGTCCCTGGCCTGTGACAGCCAGTGCCTCCATGCTCATTGCCCAGACAGCAGCAAAGCTGGCAAGAGCCAAGGCGAGACCCTGCCGCCTTCCTAGAGACCCAAGGCGAGTGGGTGGGTTTGATCCCAGCTCCCAGCCAGGGGCAGTGCTAGGTCTCTGCACCCTGGAGTCAAGTCCATGGTACACTGAGCTTCAAGGTCCCTGCCCAGGGCCCAGCCATCCTTGGGACTGTTAACACTTGGCACTGAGATCCCCCGGGCAGTGCCACAACAAGGATGTACCCCTGCCACATAGACCCCTCCCTGAGCAGACCCAGCAGTGGCCATCCTCCTTACAGGGCCAATCCCTCAGCTGTGTGCTCAGGCCAAGCTGTGCTGCTGACTTGGCAGAGCTCAGCTGGTTCCTGACCCACTCTCACATGAGCCTGTATGGGAAAGCAACCCTGGTGAAAACTGCATGTCTGCAGCAGGATCTGACCCCCAGATCCACCGGGCAGGGTGTGGGGCCCATGAGCTGCAGTGATGCCATGGCAGCTGGCTGGGCCAGTGCCTGCTGGAGAGGAGGCGAGCACTGAATTTGACAAGGCTTCAGACGCCGGGCACTCACTGTGCCTCTAGGGCCCTGCAAATGGATTGGCAGAGCCAGCCTTCTGGCACTGGCCCGAGCCCCAGCTGTGATTTCCATTACAAGGCTGGGGCATCAAAGCACTCAGACTGATCTGTGCCTGGCTGGCATGTAGCAGTCTGCCCAGAGCAGGGGTGGTGAGAGCTGCTGCAGGGCAGGACTGAGGTGCTTTGTGGAGGGGTCTGGGGCTATGGTCATTGGCAGAGCAATATGGGCAGGGAGGCAGCCAAATCAGTGCTTCTCTCACTCCCAAGTACCAAAGCCAAGTGCCCAGCAGAGAGCAGGCCAGGCCAAAACTGGCACTGCCCAGGGGCCCGTATCCTGGCTGCCACAGCCGTTTGGAAGAGCTGCCCAAGGACAGTGGAGACCTCACAGCTCCTCCCCACTTCCCGGCTCTCCTGGCTGTTGCTTCTGTCAGAGGCAGCAGTAGGCCAAGGACCCCTGGTGAAGTGGCCCAGCCAGCACGTTCCACCTTGGGTCTGGATGGACCCTGTGGAGGTGGAGGAGTGACTGGCTGACGCTTATGCGCTCCTCGCCCCTCGCAGCACAGGGCTGCCTGAGGTAGCCTGGACAGACACCCCAATAAAAATGGAACAAGACTCCACTTGTGTAACCTACTAGCCAAGGACAGTTTACAACACCTGGGCCAGGCTGGAGCTGAACATAGGAGCCAAAGGCTCCTAACACCCCTGGAGCCAGCAGCCCCCTCTCCCCCAGTACACCTCAGTCCTAGGCACACAGGAAACAGACACTTGGAAGAGATACTTGCCTTTACATAGCAGATGCTCGTGGAATGCTGGCCCCAACACGCTCTGCAGGTAGGGAGCCTTGGCCCGTTGCAGCACGCACAGAGACCACACCAGACCCACAAGCGGTTGCGGATTCAGGGTGGTCAGCAACCCACTGACCTTCTGGTCCACCTAGGGAGAGGGGTTTCCTGTGAGATGGCAGTGAATTTCAGAGGCTGCCAGCTGCTGAACAGATACCTGCAAGACCCAACACCAGCGAGGCTGGCAGGTGGCATTTAAGCTAAACCCGGGCAGCAGGGTTTGCAATCAAGGGAGGTTTCATGGCTCTGTGGAGCAGAGATGGCTGCATCCCAGTGCCCTCTGCACAGCATGGGTTTGATGGCTTGTTATGGCAGGGCTGCTGCTACAGAAGGGATATGTGCCACACTCACTCGAGGGCCGCATGCCAGGCTCACCAGCACTCAGTCACTCCATTTCAATGGGCCGACCACTGAAAACTGGGCAGTTGGGTGAGAAGCCTGGATGCCGCCCAAGGGCAGAAGCGAGGGGCAAGTTCTCTCAGAACCCTGACCCGACCCGTGGGGCAGTAACTTTACCGGCCCCTCAAACCCATGGGACTAACACAGCTGATGGTTTTTGATTCATTATAGCTCTACCCTCTCCTCCCACCAATCTTTCTGTGTTCCCTCTTCCCTTTAGCTTGGTCTCATCCTTCTGCAGAATGAGACTTGCTGATAGCAACTGTTCTGGTCTGTAAGCACTCCTGACAACTTCACTTTGCTCCACCATGTAACTGCCTACTTCCTGCTTTCCTGGCCCCAAGAGGCATTTGGTGCCCAAAGCTCATCTTGCACCCCTGCCAACTACAGTCGGTCCAGCAAAAGATACTGGACCAATCGCACTTTCCTGCACTGCCCTGGGACCACCACAGCTGCAACACCCCCTGCCACTCAGACCTGTAACCTCTGCTGGTCACTGCCCCCTTTATAATGAGTGACAGTGCAATTTTCCTTTCCAGGTGACTGTGGCCTTTAGCTTGGAGTCACGTAATGCCAAGCTCTCAGTGCCATCAGAGCAGGCTGACAACTAAACATACACCAGGACCCAGTCCCTGCTGCCTGAATGCCCCCCCTCTTATTCTGACATAGCTCTGATGTGACTGCTGCCTCCCCAGAGACAGGACTGCACATGGGGAGCTCAGCTTGAAAGCCTGGGGCAGAGTCCCCAAGGCCAGCATAGACCACAGGGGTAGAGACAGCATGCTCAGCCCCCGCAGAGGAGAGAAGTGTAGAAAACAGCCTGCCACAGCCCCAGCACCCTGGGTTTCACACACCTGAGTTCTGCCTGCACCCACCCTACACAGGTCTCACTGCTCAGCCCCTACAGGGGTCCCTTCCTCTGCAGAGAGCTGACAGCAAGGGGGGCTGTCAATGGCCTACAGTCCGTATCAGAAATGTCAAGGTTTCCGGAAGCCTCAGAGCTATGCTGCAGTCACCTCAGCTCCACATCCTCTGGTGTGAAGAGCCTTGAAGCACATAGTGCTCAGGGCAGAGATTGGCATCTGCCAGTCGCCTAGCTCCTGCCTGTTCCATGTGGATGCGAAAAGGCCTCTTGGCCTGAACTATTCCTCTGAGAAAGCAGCCATTCACAGACCTCACCCAAGAGCTGGTTACCTTGGCTCTCGGTGCTACATATAACACCCATCTTGTACAGCTGCCCCTCCAATCACTTCCTGGCTCTAGGTGAGACCAGATGAGCATGGAAGGGACCAGACCGGAGCATGACTTAGCATGCTGGATACCTGGACATGCACGCAAAGGTATCAGCACTTGGCTTCTTCCCACATGAACACAGGAAAGGAGGCAGATGTCCCAGGCTGCAGCCTTCCTAAACCTAGATGTGCCCCTTGGAGGGCTGGAATAACTGCAGTCACCATGTGCTTATTTTCTCTAGATCTGTGACCAGCAAGGGACAGAATGGGCAGCAATGAGCTATCAGGGTAATCCAGCCAGGGAAGGGTTAAGGGCAACCTACCTGATGCATAGCAATGCAAGAGTGAGAGGCCATAGCCCTTACCACACAGCACAAACCCCACCCAGCGGTGCACCTCAATCAGGCCACCTCTCAATGGCATCTTTCCAAAGGCAGCCAGGCAGGGCCCCAGTTTGGCAACAGCCTGAAGGGAGCATGGAGGCAGGAGGTGGTGAAGCGTTTACCAGGTCAAAGAAGTTGTTGCTCTCGGTAGGCTGGAAGTTCAAGTGGGCAAAAGACAGCACGATGCTGCAGAGCTGAAGTGGGCTGAACTGGTCGGCATTGGTCAGGATATACTGAAAGCCAGAGAGAAGATTGGGGGCTCAGACCTGAACTTCCTCAGAACAGGCCCCACTCTCACCCCCTGCAGAATCCCATCCCGAGGATGTGGTCCTGGCCGACGGCTGGGCTGCCTGCAAGTAGCCCTCCCTATCCATGGTCTTGCAGTGGTACAAATCAGCAGTACAAAGGCCTGGAGTTTTATGTGCAGAGAGCAGCACGTTATCCCCATCTGCTAGAGGAGGGAACCAAGGCACGGTCAAGCTCTGGGATTACACTTCAGGCCCCACCAGAGCTCCCCACCCCTTGCTCCGTCTATGCCCCCAGGCCTGCTTCTGCTGCCTTGCATCTAGCAAGTCAAATCTGTGTGTTACCACTGAGAGAGCAGGGAACACCCTGCTTCTAATGTGATGACAGCACTTGGGACATCCACAGCAGCATCCTCATCCCTACCGTACCCGAGGCAGGGAGAGGCCCAAGTTCATTCAAGCAGACTAGACCCCTGCAGTCCTAACTGCCCATGCTGTGCTTTAAAAGCCCGACTAGTTGCCCCTGAATCTGCAGGCATCGCCTCACTGCTCACACAGGAGCACTCTAATGACTGAGCTGCAGTTTATGATGCACTGTGTACCAGGGACACGACCCCTTGGCTAGTGGTGGAGGGGATTCCAAGCCCCACACACGCAGCTGATGAGGTCTGAGGTCTCCCCCTGGCCCAGTGATGACCATCTCCCCCCACCCTTCCCTCACCTGAGTGAAGGCATCGACCAGCGGCAGGCTGAACCACCTGATGGTGGCAAAGGAGCGGAGGCAGAACACCACGTTTACGGGGGTTATCTCGGACACTTGGGAAAGTAGGTCAGATGCCAACTTCTCCAATAGCTGGGATTGAAAGAAATTCAGCTTTCCTTAAAGGGGCAGAAAAGAGGAGCAGTAACTTACCCAGGGTCAGCCTGGAGCACTGCATCACCTGTAAAGACAGGGCAGGCAGCAGGGACCCAAGCCAATGCAAGAAGAAAAAGGCTCTGAGTAAGTGTTGCCCCCTCCCCAACTCTAAGCCAACCTCAGCCACCATCACAGTAACTAAATCATTTATTCTGACCTCAGCCTAGAGAACTGGACTCAGGTACCCACATACTGAGCCCAATAACTTGTGTTTGAGATTGAAGTCACAAAAAGACAGCCTATCTTGAGCTGAAAGCACCCAAAGAGAGTCCACGGTTCCCTTGGAAGGCTGTTAAATGCCCAGTTACTCTAGTTACTGGTAAGAAGATCAGTCACTACCCAAGAGAAGCCCGCCACTCTTACTGTTAATTCTGGCATTATAACTTTTCCCCATGTAGCCCAAGTCCCTCTGATAAGATGTGCTGCTCCTGCAGCCAGGAGAAGGACAAGGATCAGAACCTGGGCAGAGGCAACAGGTTTAGCTGGTAGGAGGATACTGTTTCCACTTATCTGGACTGACTCAGGGGACCCACTCACCACAGGCAAAGAGCAGATCCATTATGGTGCTCACATCCAGTTCGCTGTGATGCTGGGCCAAGTGGTAGGAAAGGGCCCGGAGCACGGGGAGGGAGCGCCGGTTCTGGCGCACAAATGCTTGCATCACCTTCCGAGTGTCCTGAGAACTGAAATTCTCAGCCAACTGCAGTGCCTGCCAATAGACATTGTGAACAGAGGAGTATGGGTCAGACTGAGGCAAGCCACACTTGCGAATCCCTTGCATGGCATGCTTCAGCCTAATGAATCTTATAAATCATGCCCTCCAACCAAGGATCGCTCCATCCTCAGTGAGCTGGAGCCCACCTATTACTGCTCATCAGGTCAAAACAATGCTAAACAGTTGGAAACAGATTTGAGAAACAGTGCAAGTAGGGGGAGCACTGAGACAGACCAACCAGAATTACCACGTTGTTTCAACTGTAAATCAACACCCATTCTCAGGTTCAATTCCAAAAACAGCAAACTTTCTCCCTAAATATTAGTTCATTATCACAACGTCCTTGGGCAAAATCTCACAGGAAAAATCAAATAACCAAGGACAGGATGCCAGAGGGTTAAATGCATTCAAATTCTATGTTGAAAAAGCCTCATCTAGTATTTCTATTGCATGCGACATTAGTGCAAATACAGAAATCAAGAGAGTTGGGGGTGGGACAATGACTGATGAACCCTGTACATAAGAACAGCACGGTTCTTCTGGAGAGAGGAAAAAAAAAATGTTAGGTGTTGTCTCACGACAGTACAGTGGCTATGATGGAACCTGGTCGGATGATCCGTGCTAACCTTAAAAAGGGAATCTCAGTTCATGTCATCAAAAATAGAGTGCAGCACTCTCTCCTTAAGGTTTTAGTCTGTGCTGATCCACACATCAGCTGGAGACCTAAACCAAGAGAAGCCAGGAGAGTTGGGGATAGGGCATTTAAGAAGCCCACTTGTGGGGAGGGCCAGCAGGCATTTAAGTTGTGTGCCAAACCCCACTGTTTTCAATACTCAAGTCACTGCTGAATTAAGCATGCCTGCTAATTCCTGGGGGAACAGCCAACTCTCAGTTTTTTGCACCTCATTAATGCTCCTCGCATTGTTACTCAGAGCCCCTGCTCAGCCTCAGCTGTTCTTACCTCCTTTAACGGCCCCTTACCTTATTTCTCAGAGGGCCTTGCCTCTAACAAGAGCCTTGAAGCTGACAGGACCCAAGATCCTGTAGGGAACTTGGTACTGAGAGTGGCTGAGATGGGCTAGAAAGGTAACCACCCTTCCTGATGCTGGGCCATCTTTTGACTGCGTAGATCACGTCTCCAGAAGAGAGTATGCTTCTTGGTGAATCATGTGCATCACTCCCTGAAGGAACCTGGCTTCTCTTGAAGACCTCACCTACTCCTAACCTGACTCCACTACTGAGAACTGTGGCAGGAACAGAAACCAACTAGGTCTAGACAGCTATTTTTCCTAGCATCCATCGATGTCTGCAGCAGATATTTATCCCCAGGGTCCACAGAGAGAGAGACATGGGGCCCATGAGCTACAGGTGTTTCTGTGGCAGCTGTTAGGGCCGGTACCCACCACAGAGAAGGCAGGTACCGAATTTGACGCAGCTGCAGTTAAGCCACCATCAGAGGACTTCGGTTGCTGTTTCCACCTGGGCACAAATTTCCTATCCTGAGCCAAGTGCTTGGAGAAAAGTAAATGGGCACCTCTAGAGCAACAGTTCTCAACCAGGGGGCCAGAGCAGTCTGGGGAGCCTTGAGATCCTTTTAAGGGTGCCACACAATGTTAGCACTGGTAGGTGCGCAAACATGATTCACACGATAAACCCAGAGATTTCAAACAGAAATCTGTGGTTGTTGTCTTGCTGAGTTCTTTGCAACAGAAAAAAACCTGCTCTATTATTCTGTAGTTTTCACTTTTGATTAAGAGCTAGCATTTTCCAAGTGGTGCCACAAGTCTAAGAACCACTACTCTAGAACAGTGGTTTTTAGCCTTTTTCATTTGCAGACACTTACAACATTTTGAACAGATGGGCAGACCCCTGTGGAAATTTTGAATGGGGGTCTGGACCTCTTTGAATTGTAAGTATGGATAGTCACTGCGGACCACAGGTTGAAAACCACTGCTCCAGAACATACTAGGATGATGAACTCAAGTAACAGTTATTTTCCTCCCTTCAATAACATCTCGAGGGGTGGGACCAGCCTGCCTTGAGACCCTAAGAAGTGCAATTCTGCAGCCCTGTGCAAGCAGCCTAGCTGCAGCAGCACGAGTCTCCTTACAGAGCCTTTTCACTGAAATGGGAAAAGGAACAGGAATTGTTATTTCCATAACTGAGCACATCTGAGCTGAGTGGGATCTTTGGTTGCAGAACCACTGCTCAAAAAAGTGCACAGTGGACAGACTTGGGAGGCATCTGAGTGGCCAAGCTCACCCAGATACTGCACAGGAGCACTGACTACAAGCACTTGTGAGAGGCTGCTTAAAAAAAATCAGGAAGGGATAGAGGCCCCCGCATGCCCGATCAGTAGCTCCTTCAGTCAGCATGAAGGAGAGGATTGTGTTCATCTGCTGCACAGGGCAAACTGAGAAGGGATGGGGGCAGGCAAGAGAGCGTTAAACTTGTGGGAGCTGTACCTTGTCCTCCAGCCGCTCCATCAGGACCGGTGACAACTGTCCGACTTTTGACATCAGCATCACCACGGTTTTGACGTCCTCAATCTCTGTCCAGCGGAGCTCTAGGCTGCTCACCAAGTCTTTCAGCAGGTCATTATGATTCTCTACCCACTTGCTGGAGGCCAGGAAACTGGCTAGGGAACTGAGATGGTTGATGCTGAAACGCTTCAGGCGCCAGCACACCTCTTGCTCCACTACTTTAAACTCCTTCATGGTGCTGTCCAGATAGTAACAACTCTTCAGAAGCTGCACCAAGGTACTGTTCCAGACTTGGGATATCTGGGCAGCAGAGAGAGATGCAGAAAGGTTACTTAAACACAGGGAAGCTTATTGGAACAGTGGAGGATGTAGTAGACTGGATCAAGCATTACATCTCCACCAGTGGCAAATGCCACTATAATGAGCTCATTATAGGAGTAAGCTGTACAGAACGCAGCAGCTGCCTTCCTGACCCCTGGAGCACCTCTCTCATGCTGATGCATGAGACTCAGATGTGCGGCAGAAAATTTTCCAGTGCTTTACTTTTCCGTGGGTAATTTGCCATTTCTAAAAAGTCAGTTTCATAAAAGCTCATTAGTAACAATGAATGGATGCCACTACAATATTAGGCAAGCTTGGCAGTATGAATGCCGCATGCCCCCAGAGGCTGGGGGGCAGGGGCCAGTGGCAATTGGGGACCGCCTGTACATGCTGCCAGTGGTGTTGGCAGTGAGGGTGGGCGAGCAGCGACTGTCTGCAGGCACTGCCGGCAGCATTGGTGGCACTTTTTGCAGGGGGTGCCTGTGTACCTGCATGCACACCCTACGCACCACCGATGCTTGGCAGTTTCAAAGTTGTAATTAAGGTTTTTCAAGTGATTATCCCTAGGAAGTGTGTGAGAAATTGAGACTGAATTGCTTTTTATCATGAGGCCCAAGCTGTACTACTGTAAATGTGGATAGTGATTGAAAGGTCACCCAGTTCTGTGGACACAGGATTTAACTGAGCCCCTCAGACAAGGAATTAAAACATCATTGATACAGAGAGCCATGAATTTATATGAAGGTTCAGGAGCAAAGGCTCTCTCTGCTCTGCAGTGCTGGGAGCCCAAGATCACAAGCCGCCGCAGCTTCACTGACTGCTGCAAAGAGCAATTTTTACAGCATATAATGCTTTTTCAAAGTATATGATCCCAAACCACCCTGGTGCTGCATATAAGAAGCCAGCTGAGGCCTAGACCAGCAGGAAGTGGGGGTATTTAGGGACAAAAAGTCCTTATGAAGAGGGTAACATGATTGTTAATGCACAAACAGATCAGACAGGATCAGGGTTTTGGATCCACCAAAATCAGTGGGCTAGTCTAGCCCCCACACTTCCCACCAGCATCAGCTGCTGTCCATACTGATCTGGGACAGGTCAGATAGTTCTTAGCCATCCACAGACCTGTGACCAGCATTCAAGCTGTCGTCTCCATCAACATCCATCAATATTGTTCTGTCAATATTTCTCTAATTTCCCCTACAACCAGACCAAAGTGCCTTCACTCTGTGTGTACAGCAACCAGCCAGTGACTTCATGAGCAGAAGGCACTTGCAGTCATTTGCCAGGAGAAAGACATCAGGGTGTGTGAAGGCCGTCACTTCCACTGCTTTCTGTATCCTCCTAACTCACCTTTCACTTGAAGCATCCAGAAATCCTGCATGAAACACTCAGAAAATATCACTCACCTGCAGCCACCTCTGGCAGATAACAGGACATGACAGAACAATTGAGATCAGCAAAAATACCAGGTGTCTGTAGTATATTTCTATCCCCAGGGTTCAGTAACAGAGACTCGGGGCCCATGAACTACAGGTGTTGCTGTGGCAGCCAGCTGGGCCAGTACCAACCATGGAGAAGGATAGTACTGAATTTGACAAGGCTGCTGTGGGTTTAAGAATAAGGAGTGGAAACTATACAGTAACATGCAAAAACCCTGTGATTCCCTTTAGGTGTCTCATCACTTTATAGAGGTTTCATCTGGCTAAGCTAGAGTCAAAAATAGGGTAGACTCCTCAGAGTGCCTCAAAGCAGGAAAACTAACATTTTTAGCATAATCCTGCAGAAGGGCAAACATCGAGTATCAGCTCTATTCAAGTTTCATCCATTTTTTTTGCTGTTGCTGATTCTGCCCCTATGAAGGGAACAGATGTTAGCAAGACCCTCTCTCAAGCAACTCTCCCTTGAACCAGCGATAAGATAGACAACAACATCTTAATAAGATACATAAAAATTGCGGCGGGGTAGCAGTGTAACATTCTCTAGGTCAGTGTTTCCCAGGGGTATGCGGGTGTTGCGTTTTGGTCTTTGCCTGCTCGGGCCGGAAGTTCCGGCTGCCGCCCCTCCCACCGTGTCCAGTGCGCCGGGGCTTTCACTCCCCAGAATCAGTGTGCCAGGGGATAGGGAGGGAGGCCCTGTGTAGGCTGATTTACTCCAGGCCATGGTGGAAAAAGTGGGACTCGGCTCATGGCAGCAAAACCGCAAGTGTCACAGTGGGACTTCTGGTTTCGTTTTTGCCGCGTTGATCTGCAGGGATACATAAGGTACTAAAGGTTGAGAACCACTGCACTAGGTGAGGACTGGATAACCTATGGTTTAGGTGCTGCAAGTGGCACATGACAGATGGGGGGTATGGGGACGAAAGGTAGTACAGTGAAGATAGGGCAGGAACCAGAAAGCAAAGGCACAAAATCAGGCAGGAAGCAGAAAGCAGAGCAGCAGGCTAGGAAGGGAGCATGAGGGTTGGGAGAAGAGAGCAGGGCAGGCAGGGAGCGCAGCAGCTGGGAGAAGACAGCAGAGCAGTAGGCCAAGCAGGGAGCACGGAGCTGGGAGCAGAAAGCTGAGCAGCAGGCCAGGCAGGGAGCATGAGGGCTGGAAGCAGAGCAGCAGACCAGGCGGGAGCATGAGGGCTGGAAGCAGAGCAGCCGACCAGGCAGCAGAAGGGGAGTGGAGTAGCACATGGGGTGGGCATGGGGCTAATTTGGGGTAGGTCTGCCAAAAAGGGTGGCCTCCCTACTGCTCCAGGTTACCACAAAGCCCTTTGTCCCTGTCCGCTTTCAGGCACAATGCCAGTAGCCACCACAGTAATCCAGATACACAGCATTTGAGTGCTGCCATATTTTCCTCTGCCATGGTGCAGAACACACATCCTTTCCTGCCCTGCCTACTTACAGCCATGCCCCCCAGTCCCAACTGCTTCGAATCACAGCTGGAAAGGACGCAAAGCAGCACGATGGGACCAGTCGGCTTCCCACCATCAGCCCTAGGCCAGCACAGAAATGCACCGTGAACAGATCTGTTCTCCGCACGTTCCCTTGACTGTGCCCCTCCCAGGCTGCAGCTGGCACTTACATTCTCCCCGAGACAGAGGAGCAGTAACTTGAAGCGCTTGTCATTTACAATTTCCTCAGTGTCTTGGTTTCCCTTCGTTACCAGGCAAGACAGCCTGATGATGATATGGGAAGCCGTGAAGGCATTGATAGGGTGCTCTGTACTAAAAGCCAAGACATCTTTGGTGGTGGTGGCTGCTGAAATCAACTTCTTGAATGTTTCAGAATTAGTAAGTTTGCTGCTTATCTGCATCTCCTCGTTGTCTTTCGGCCCAGAGAAGTTCAAGGTATGCAGCAGAAGGACAGACTGCCGGGGAAGGACCCTCACAATCATCTTGCCCCTGGGTGCTAGCGCACAAGTCGGGGCCACTGAGGCAGCGGGAACAACGGCACTGAAGAGCCAGCGACAGGGACAGCGACGCGCCAGCTGAGCTGCCATGATTCACCGGCAGGGAGCAGCGGGGGCTGGCAGATGTGGGGTCACTCACATACTTCAGAGGTCCTAGAGGAAAGCCGGTGGGTTGTGAGGGGGGCTGCCGCGCAGGGACGGAGGCCGGACTTGCTCTGAGCAGTGGAGCCCCCCCCCCGCCCCGCCATGGCGTCTCCAGGCCTTTTGAAGGCAACGGGAGGTGGAAGCCAGCAGCGCACTCCAAAGCAATTTGGGGGGGGGGGGGCAGGGAGGACACACACACATAACATGTCCCCTGCCAGGGTCCCTCCGGAAGCTCCCCAAACCTCCTGGATTTGAGGCCCCCTCCCTCCTGGGCCTCAGGCACCCTCGCTCACAGCCCTCTCCCTGGGTCCCCAAGCCACCTCACCCGGGCCTCGAGACCTAAGCCCTCCCGGGCTTCCTACCTCCCGCTCTCCCGGACACAACGCGCCCCAGACCCGGCTCCTACCTGACCTCGGCCAGGCCCGCAGCGCTTACAACGTCACATCCGCGCGCCACTCTTCCGCCTTGCCTCATATGCCCACGATACCACTCCCGCCCTGACTCGGTGCGGCGCCGGCAACGTCATAGCTCCACGACGGCCGCGCGCGCGCCATCTTAGCTGAGGGCAGAACGGAAGCGGTGAACCCACTTCCGGGTGCGTCTGTCTTTGCCTTGGGGTCTTCGTAGTTGATGGGCAGTTTTGACAGGTGGCTTTTTCAGCAGCTCCAACTTACCGAAGATGGGGCTGTGTGATTTCAGGGGGTGTCCTAAAGCTTCAGGTGCCAGCAGCTGCAGCTTTCTGCTTTTCAACATGGCAGTGATACTAGGCGGGGGTGGGAGCCCTGGAGGAGACTCGATGAAACGGGCCGCGTGGGTCGGGTCTGTTTCCACGCGGCCTCGGGTTGAACTCTTCCTTATTCCCCAGTGCATCCGGCGTGCCCGAAAACTTAAAAAGATTTTTTTTTCCCAGCTATTATTGTCGGTTGAACCAAAGATACTGGATTTACCTGAAGAACATTGTCTGCTTATGCCGTAATCGGTCGCATTTGGCCCTAGGTTGAGCTCTCGTTGATTTGGGAGGTGTTGCTGGCGGTACTTGGCCGAAGAGCCCGCATCCTTCCTGCATGTGTGAGCAAACGCTAACTCATCACAATTCACGGTCACAGCAACGCCTCTGAATCCCAGCCTGAGATCAGAGTCACGAGGTCTGTGCGCAAGTAACGCTGACCTGCAGCGTTTGCAGCAAGATTTAGGCCACACGCAGGAGGGGTGAATGCCAGCATATCAACATGGGGGGTTGTGCACTCATCAGTCAAGACCCAGTATAAATCAAGACCTAGCAGCCTTGATAACCAAGACCACTGGTCCCCTGAAGCTGCAGTGGGGCTGCCCTCACAAGCAAGCAGGGCAAGGGAGGTGGTAGATCCCCCTAAGCCATGAGTAGGAAGGGATGCACAGCCAGCATAAGGGAGAAGCTGAATTTCAGAGGCTGGAATAATTGCCCCTCTGGGGCAGCTTGCCTGTCCTGTATGCAACAGCCCCAGACACTTCAGGCACATACGCTGCATTGCACAGTGTCTGCTGAATGCAAGTCTATCGAAGAGGAGACGCAGAAGGGCTCAGGGTTATTAATTGTGGATTTATGGCTGAATTATTTGGTGTCATTCCTTCAAGGCTTTTAATCCTTCCCTTGGGGACAAATGTGGAGCCAGCAGCTTTCAGTTCTGTAGAGGAGGCTTTGCCAGACCCTCTTTGGTACAGCGGGAGGCAGCAATGTCACGGGGATCTATGAACCGCAGCACTGTATAAGACACTGTTTTCAATCCTTTGCAAAATCCTCTTTTTGCTGCTACATTTTTTGCCTTGCATTCTTATCCCATTGCTATTTGGGGTAAGTTATTATGCCGCACTGCAATGCCTAGGGGAGGGTTGCTATCTGCAGTATTTGTTGGTGCTGGGAGCGGAGCTGGGCAGAGCAGTTCTCATTTTTGGAGGAATCAAGGGGTTGTCATCTCTACGTCCTCTGCAGCAATGTGGACAGGTGGGATCCCAGGGTCT